TATATATATATATATATATCATTTTTAATAAGGTTTTAAAAAATGTTAAAAACATTTGTTTTGTAACTTATTTTTATAAATAATGGAACTCATTTCCATTCCAAATCCTACAAATCAAACACACCAATAATTTAAAATCCATTTCAATTGAAATCCCTCCAAATCCTTTATGAAATCCAAATCTCTAAACCAATCGTGCAAACCAAACGAAACCCTTAAAGTATCTATAACATATATTCTTTATTTTAAATATTACAATATTAATATTATTATAATATTTTATACATATAATAGAATATTATTTTTCTCTCGTACATGCTTCACCTAAAAGTTTCTTTAAAAGTATCTACTAGAGATGCTCTTGATAACCTAAACATCATGTTCAGGGCTGTGCAAAATCCGATCCAATTGGAATTATCCGAAAAACCCAACCGAAAAAATCCAAACCGAACCAACCCGAGGTCCGAAATCCGAAAATTATTTCGGGTTAGTTGGATCGGGTAGGATCTCATGATCCATCCCCCGAACCCGTCCGAAACCCTAAGAAAACAACAATTCATGTTTATTGGTTTTTAATAATATGTTAATCATGATTGGTTTGAGATTGGCTCCAAAGTTCAAAAGTACCAGGAGGTCCCATGTTCAAATTCAAAGAGAAATAAAAATCCATTTGTGGTCACGGAGATTTAAATGCGGTGACTCCGGTCTATCTGCAAAGCAGGTGGTCGTCCTCAGATTAGACGACTCGCATAACGGGTTGGATATCCAAATTAATAAAAAAAATATGTTTGCCAATTTGAAATTTGGACTCTGGTTTTTATTAAACAAAAATACATCTTTAAAAACCTTTTCCAATACAATTATTTTTTCTAAAATTGTTTATAAAAATTAACACTGGTCCTCAAAGGTCCATTTATTAAACAATCGTTAATATTATATGAAATCTTATCTGATTTTCTCGTAAAATATTATATGATTTTTATATATTTTTTAATATTCAATACTAATGTCATTTTAATTGTTTCGACATCAATAGTTTTAATAATGTATTTTTGTTTTAATTGTGATTTTTATTCTTATGGTTGTAGGGATGGAAACAACAATAAATTGTAAATCATAAAGATAAAAATAATAATGAATTATAATCCATAGGGACTAAAACTGCAAATTTCTAAACTACTTGGAACAATTATTAACAAATCACATGGTAAAAGAAGTAACTTACTCTTTGAGTAAACTACAATTTTTGGTCTTTGTGGTTTACATCAATCTCTGAAAGTGGTCCCTAGACTTCAATAACTACAATTAATATCTCTATCATTTACATTTTGCTTTGAAAATCGTCCCTAATCGCTAGCTCTGTTAAAATTGTCCGTTAAATAAAGGGTATTATTGTCTTTTTTACTAATTCATTTGTCTTTTTCTATTTTGTCTTTTGCCTATTAAAATAGCAATGGTTATATATTTAATTATTAACTTAAATAATTATATACAAACGTATATATACACATACATTACATGCACACACACACCCCCTCTCTCTCTCTCTCTCTCTATATATATATATATATGTGTGTAGATTATCGTCGGCCACGAGCTACCTCTGGCCAACCCAATATATCATCTCCGACGTTCCAGTCACCAAAAAATAGAAAAAAGGACAAAAAAGAAAGAAAGGTAAAAGGACTAAATTACCCCTAATTTAACGAAGAAAAGTTAACAGAGTTAAGTCGAAAGATAATTTTTTAAGCAAAATGTAAACGGTAGAGATGTTAATAGTAGTTATTGAAGTCTAAGACTTTAAGGACCATTTTTGAAGATTGATATAAACCAAAGAGACCAAAATTGTAGTTCACTCTTACTATTTTATATATATTTAAGAAATTAGATTAAGAATAAACTACAAATTTGGTCCTTGTGGTTTGTCAAAAGTAACACTTTTAGTCCCTACAGTTTTGAAATTATAAAATGGCTATCATGGTTTGAACTAATACGGTGAGATATGATTTAACACATTTACCAACAATCCATTTTGATTGCTGAGAATGCTACACTATAAGATAAGTGAGAGTGATGTCTCTTTCTAGTAAACGCTTATCCAGTAAGCATTTAGTAACAGATGCCTAAAATTATTAAAACATTAATTTAAAATATCAAATATAATACTTGCTCAAAAATTTAGTATAAAATCATTAAAACCGTCCAACGGTCCAAGTCCAAGTCCAAGTAATCAAAGCCCAGTTAGAACCAAATTAGGCCCAATTAAGCCCATCAAACCGTTCCAACGTGATACGGTGATAGACCAGGTGTAATTAGAACCATAAATATAAATCAAATTCGTTGTTATAATCGAGCAGTGATTACTGGTAATAGATTGAGGGTCGTTTGATTGATTTTTCGTAAAGTTCTAAATAGATAAAGTTGTCTGTGTGAATTAATCTATCTGTATGATTGATAATGTTTTGTTTAGAGGATTTTTTAATAGATGAAAGAAACATATTTTTTAATTGGAAGAGACATGTTTGAAAAAAAAACTTGTTTTTCTACACAAAACTTTCCTTAGAAGCTTATTGAATAAGCCAATTTCTATATCATCAAGCCACTACCAAATAGTCATTTATAGCTGACCGAATAAGTTGTGAGTCTAATTATACTCGTTAAGCTACTAACAAACACCCCTTAAGATTAAGAAATTATCGTTGTTCTTAATATATGGTTACCGGCTTAATGATTAAATAGTTGTAATGTTAGAACATCTCCAACAACGGCGAATGATCACGTCAAAATAAGAGTTAAAATGAGAAGCGTAAGAAAGAATCTAGACCCTTTATCACTTTTAATCTTAAACCCACCCATGAATAACGTCTGATACGGGGATTGTTCAGGTGCATCTCGATGCATCTCATCTCAGTATCATCCAATGACGGAGATCTCTTCTTACGTTTCTCATCTTAACTCACATTCTCACTGGAACTCAACCCCTCCAACAACTATGTTGTTTTAGATATTTTGAAGATATGAGAAAAGTTTGCTCCAACAACTATGCTAAACTTTTTTGTAAAATAGAGAAAAAAGTGAAAAAAAATAATATAACATAGCTGTTGAAGATGCTTTTAAATTTTAAAAGATCATTTATAAGGTCTGAAATGCAATATTTATATTTTTTATTTTATTTTTTATACATATGGTTATGATTTATATCTACCAATAAAATGTGATAATTATGTTGTTTAAAAAAACAAAAGATTTGTTAATAATTTTGATTTCCGTCTTTATGGTTGAGAAATTGTGATTTTCGTTCGTATAATTTGTAATTTATTGCTATTTTTATCCATAGATAAATACAAGCGACTAAAACAATAAAGAATTGTAAAACCATATGGACGCAATTTCTTAACACGTGGACAAAAATAGCAATTTATACAATCCATAGGGACTAAAAATGTAATTTACTCATTCCTAAAAACAAAACGGTTTTATCGGTTAGCTTTGAGTTTTTACAACAACTGTTTTCACGGATCGCTATTTCCCTCCCACACTTCCCCTTGCCTCTTATTACCTCTTTGCATTGGAGTTCGGATCGTATCCTCTGTGTTTTCCTCTCTCTCAGTTTCATCAAAAAGGTAAGCATGTTTTCTATCAGTAATTGTTCACATAATTCATAGCTCAGTTGAAATGAACACGAATTATGTTCTAATCTAGCTATTGAATCACTTGATTGACGAATATTGTTCTCGATTAATTGGTGTTGATCAGCCAGTCTGCTTTTGGGCTATTTCATCCTTCGTATGATCGTTAGTATGTGCTTGTGTGTGTAATATTGTTTTATATATTGTAAAAATGTGATTATGTGGTAGCAATTTGATGAAAAATGAGTAATGCGTAATATTCGATTGTTTATATGACGCAGGATAGGAAATGTCTAAGGTACTGCTCCATGGAACTCTTCATGTTACAGTCTATGAGGTTGACAAGCTCCGTGAAGGTGGTGGCCCTAATGTATTCGGGAAGGTAATTAGGATCGTATGCAGATGTTATCATGTTGATTTCAATCGTTTCGTTTGTTTTCATCAATATTATTGATGACTGATTTTATACTCATTAACAACGATGTATATCAAGTGAATGACATTTTAGGAACACCAACTGTTCGCTAGTATGTTCACATAAAATAATGATACAATTTGTGTTATTCTCGTTGCTTATAATCAAAAGTTGAAAGTAACCAAATTTTGATATGATCGATGTATATAAGTTTTAAATAAGATTTTTTTTAACAACGATCAGATCTCTAAGATGCATGTAAACATGACAAAATTAAGAAAACTTGTTAACAAAAATTCATTTTTACCAATATGTTTTAGTGATTGTTAGCAAATAGATAAACACAGAAGTCACTGGAAATTGGATGCCACTCCTTCATGGTTACATAACCTCATGTCTAAATGTATGATGCGTGATCTTGTTTCACTTCAAACAACCGAATTTTATGTTGCTGAATTCAACTTCTGAAGGATGTTTCGGTGATTATTAGTGTTATACTTTATCCCAATAACGAGATTTCATATATTTGTTTTTTTCTTGCAGCTTATGGCAAACATACAGGAGACTGTTGGATTTGGAGAAGGAACTCCCAAAATTTATGCAACAATCGATCTAGAAAAAAGCAGAGTTGGACGAACTAGGATGATAGAGAACGAACCCCAAAACCCAAGGTGGTACGAATCTTTCCACATTTATTGTGCTCACCATGCTTCTAATATCATATTCACTGTTAAGGACGATAATCCCATTGGTGCAACATTACTTGGAAGAGCTTACATGCCTGTTAGAGAACTCTTAGATGGGGATGAGGTAGACAAATGGATTGAGATCATGGATGAAGACAACAACCCCACGCCAGCTGGTTCTAAGATCCATGTGAAGCTACAATACTTTGATGTCACTCAAGATCGTAACTGGGATCGTGGAATTAAAACCGGAAAGTATCCCGGAGTTCCTTACACATTCTTTGCTCAGAGACAAGGATGTCGAGTTTCTTTATACCAAGATGCTCATGTGCCTGATAATTTCATCCCTAAGATATCACTTGCTGGTGGCAAGTATTATGAGCCACATAGATGCTGGGAAGATATCTTTGATGCCATTTCTGATGCAAAACACTTTATTTACATTACTGGATGGTCTGTATACACCCAGATCCCTTTAATCAGAGACCCAAATAGGCAGAAGCCTGGAGGAGATGTCCTACTTGGCCAACTGCTAAAAAAGAAGGCAGATGAAGGTGTTAGAGTTGCTATGCTCGTTTGGGATGACAGAACTTCTGTAAATGTATTTAAGGAGGATGGATTAATGGCTACCCATGATGAAGAAACTGAAAACTTCTTCAAAGACACTGATGTTCATTGTATTTTATGCCCACGCGATCCTGATGATGGAGGAAGCATCATTCAAGATCTCAAAGTATCCACCATGTTTACTCACCACCAGAAGATTGTAGTGGTAGATCATGAGCTGCCCAGGGGAGGATCGCAGAAACGAAGGGTCATGAGTTTTGTTGGTGGTATTGATCTATGTGATGGCAGATATGATTCTGCCTTCCATCCTCTTTTTAGTACCCTAGATTCTGCTCACCATGATGATTTTCATCAACCTAATTATGCTGGAGCTTCCATAGCTAAAGGTGGTCCAAGGGAGCCTTGGCATGACATTCATTCTCGGGTCGAAGGACCGATTGCGTGGGATGTTTTGTTCAATTTTGAGCAAAGATGGAGAAAGCAAGGTGGGAAAAACGTATTGGTTGACTTGAAACAACTTGATGACATCCTAATCCCGCCATCTCCGGTCACGTTCCCTAATGATCAAGAGACATGGAATGTGCAGCTGTTCCGATCCATCGATGGTGGTGCAGCCTTTGGCTTCCCAGATACACCGGAAGAAGCATCCAAATCAGGTCTTGTAAGTGGCAAGGATAATATCATCGATCGAAGTATTCAAGATGCTTACATTAATGCTATTCGGAGAGCAAAACATTTCATCTATATTGAGAACCAATATTTCCTTGGAAGCTCTTTTGCATGGAAATCAGATGATATTGATGTCGATGAAGTCGGGGCTTTACACCTCATTCCAAAAGAACTTTCTTTAAAGATTGTGACCAAGATTCAAGAAGGGGAAAAGTTTATTGTTTACATTGTGGTACCGATGTGGCCTGAAGGAATCCCAGAAAGTGGATCCGTTCAGGCCATACTGGACTGGCAACGAAGAACAATGGAGATGATGTATAAAGATATTGTAGATGCCCTCCAAGATAAGGGACTTGATGATGATCCACGAGAGTATCTCACTTTCTTTTGTCTTGGAAATCGTGAGGCGAAGAAGAGCGGAGAATATGAACCTACGGAAGCACCTGAACCAGATTCAGGTTATCTTCATGCCCAAGAGAACCGACGCTTTATGATCTACGTGCATTCCAAAATGATGATTGGTAAGTGGAAACTTTAATAAACTTACCTTTTTAGTGTCTTAATTACATACCCTACATCCCTTGTTAAGGTTACTACATAACATATATACCCTTTTGATTCTCGATTTAAAGAGCACTTTGTAGGAAGAGGAGAGGTAACTACATATATTCAGGTTTGATATTCCATGTCTAGTTGATACGACCCTTTCAAACAGAGGCAAAATAGTGTGTCGAGTCCTTAGGTGATGGTAAACCATGACTCTTATATCATATTAGAATGTGTGGAACCTCTTTGAATCTCTCTAATAGCTATTTTAAAGATAAAAATGAAGCATATATATATATATATATATATATATATATAGGGTTGGGTTTTGATGAGAATAAGGGTTATGATGAGATGATGAGAACAAAACTTTCATCTACATTCGACTATCTTTGTTTACCTATTTTATCGTAATGATCAAAACTTTAACAAATCCATGAATATGGAAGTGATTAAGTGTATGTAAAGGTTCGATAAAAGTGACTTAAAAATGAAGATAAATTTGATGATCAAAGTAGATGAATGTAGCTAAAGGTAATCTAATTTAGATGAATGTAATTGAAGATACTCAAAGTAGTTGAAAAAATTAAGTTAGATAAAAAAATCAACTCATCTAAAGACTCGAAAGTGTTTTCACCATTCTATGTATAACTCTTATTCTCACACGATCCATATCTATACACACACACATAGGTGGTTGATCAAACGAGAACACTTTCATTTTACGTAAACGTAAGGACACACTTATTACATGTGATAATACACGTGAGGGTGTGGTGTGCGGATGACTTGGCCCTCGACCTTGGTCGTGCTAAGGTGCATGTGTCTCTGATTTAATATCCCATATGATTGACTATAGTAAAAAAGATGTTTTCACGTTTTCATAACATGAAGGTGTTCTCATTTGACCATTATATAAGTTTTTCGGTCCATGTCTAGTAGATACAAGACTCTAATAGCTTTGAAATAAGACCATGGTAGATTGACATTTCAGAACATGGTAATCTAACATCTTATATATATATCTACCATGGTGCAGTTGATGATGAATACATAATCGTTGGATCCGCTAACATCAACCAACGATCCATGGATGGTGCCCGAGATTCCGAAATAGCCATGGGAGCCTATCAACCATACCATCTTGCTACCCAAACACCCGCTAGGGGACATGTCCATGGCTTCCGTATGGCTTTATGGTACGAACACCTCGGAATGCTCGATGACAGCTTTGAACGCCCAGAAAACAAGGATTGCGTAAACAAGGTGAACGAGATGGCTGACAAATACTGGGATCTATATGCCAGTGAAGATCTCGATCGTGATCTCCCTGGTCACTTGCTTCGCTATCCCGTTGGTGTTACTAGAAAAGGCGATATTACAGAACTCCCGGGAACCGAGTGTTTCCCGGATACAAGTGCACGTATCCTTGGTGCTAAATCCGATTACCTCCCTCCCATCCTTACTACTTAAAAAAAGAGTGCTTGCTTGTTTCGTATTTTTAACCTCAAATCTTTATTGCATCTTAGGGGCTGTTTACTAAACGCTTGCAGCTTTTTACCTGGTAAGTTGCGCTGATCCAATATGAATAATATTATTTACCTACACCCTCTGACCCGCAATGTCGTTGGCTGAAGTTTTGTCCCGGTAAGGATCAAGAGCCTCACTTACTCTGTTAGCAGTTACCTGATTTGTGTTAGTAAACGAAACTTTAGTTGAATAATAAGCTATACTTGATTCTTAATTTGCATTCTTACATAAGGTTTGTAAGAGGTGTTGTCTTCTTTTACCAAAAGAATTAATGTTTATCATGTTTGATATTTTCTAAGATGTGTACCAATGACCCTTTTTATATGTGCATTGTGCCTTCTTGTTGTCATCTTTGTCTGGTAGAATATATATATGTTTCCAAACTGTTTATAACATTGTTAGTAACTTAATGAGTTTAAAGCTTACTTGATAAGTTATATATGACTTTTTGGTACTGACTTAATCATATAGAAAGTGACTTATTCAATATGCTTACAGGGGGAGCTTTATGCAGAAGCCAAGTTTTTTTTTTCAAACCTACCCTCCCAATTAAAAACATGCTCATTCCATCTAATATTAAACCTCTCCCAAACCAAAATCTTTCCGGTCTATACAAACAAATTAATCCACACATGACTTAATGGAAAACCAACCACACAACCCCTGAACCCCTTCCTCTATGGATAAAGTTGTTTATGTGAATTACCCACTCCCTGTTCGTATCGCAAAAATAGTTAATGATGTTGTTCTACTTTAATTTTGTAAACGTTCACATTAACACAATTGCAATCTTGTTTCTTGTAAATGAGAGACGTATCATGCCGGATGCCGAGTCCACCAAATAATAAATTCCAACTAACGACTAATTACAACCAAAATTGTAGTAGTGTAAGTCGGGTCGAATCCACAGAGACTCGGTCTAACGTTATACGACTAGCGAATCAAGCACACGATGGAAGCGTAAAAATACTAATAATCACAAGGGGGGGGGGGGTTTGAATTTGATTAATTACTCTACAAATGCAATAATATAAACTAAAACAATTGATTAAAATCCCAACATCGATTTAATACCGGTTAAGATGTTAGTGCCTATCATCGATTCCAAAAATGTAAACGGAAAGAACAAGCCCGAATTGGCTTTAATCGTTAACAAGCTCTAACGACCCGCATTTTCCATAGATAATTGTTGACTAAAATAAGCTCTCTAATCAACCCTTAACCACAAATACAAATTTAAATAAGCTCTTAAACTCATAGGTGCGACTAGCTTTACCGGACTAGAAAAATTACCAATTCAAAGCCATAAGCTCATAAGCTCGGCTTATCGAGGCTCTAATCGCAAGATTTCAAATATTCAATCCGGAAACCTTATCAAAACCAAATGAATATTATTGTTATTCTATCAAAACTCTAAGACAATTACGTATCTAAGTATTTTGAATAACCATTCCATAAAAGATTTCCAATCAGTTAGCTAAACTAATTAAAAACCCAAATAGGATTAACATTAAGTTCAGAAATCAAACAAATAAGCTTGTTCAAACACGATTACAATGAAATCTCAAAGCAATAACAAATCAAAACCTAATTAAATCAATGTTGGAATGAACAAATTAGCAAGACATGGTTAAACTAAGTTACTGATTCTAAGGGTTTTAGGTTTACCATAAGAATCAGGAAGATTGATGAGAAAAGGTTGTCTTCTCCAATTCTTGCATCCGTGTTCTTCAATGGAACCACCGTCTMRCATCCATCTTCTCCAATCAAACAGCTTGCTGCTGTTTTCAATTGACAGCCCCTTGCTGTCACTCGGTTTCTTCCTCCCGTCTGCTGTCCCTCTCTCGATCCTTTTCGATTTCTGCCTCTAATCGACAGCCCTCGATTTTTCTTGCTGTCGGCTGCTTCCAAAACGAACAGCCCTCGCGACTGTCTCTTCTCCCCTGTCGAACCGACTGCTTTTCTCCCCTGTCGAACAGCCTCCCTTCGATAGACTCCCCTTCTTTTTGTATTGACAGCCCCTTCTATCTTGTTCCTCTCCACGACCCTCGCTGCCCACGTCGATCATTGCACGATGTCCCTTCTCCATCGCACTTCTCTCGCTGCACACGTCTCTCTCTCTCTCTCTCTCTCTCTCTCGCGACTCGCTTACTGGTTTGGGCAGCAGCCCAAGCTCCTTCTCGATTTGTTTTGCTGTTTCTTTTGGGCTTAGACTTGGGCTGCTGTTATGGGCCAAACAAAACACATAATCAAATACATTTTTCTCACCTTTAATGGCCTCATGAGAATAAATATTAACCTAAGTAAAAATGGACGTTTTAAGCATCAACTTAACATTAATTGCAAGATAACTTTGATATAAAAATATATAAAATTTGCACATATCATATCAATATAAAAGAAATCCAACTTATCAATTTCAATAAATCCAATTTAGTTTTGCCACATTCAACATTAAAAATATCAAAAACATAAAAATAAAGGTGTTTTTATTTCCAATTTGATGTTAAAATATTAAAAAAATGAAGATAAAAATGTTGATGTCTATATTTAGACGTCAATAAAAAAGGCCTTTTTGAAAATATATTAATATAATATTAAGTTTAATAATTTTATATGTATATATATAGATATTGTTAAAAGTTTGATATATTAAGATGTTTATTATTATTATAATATTAAACATGGTTTTTAGTGTTCAACGGACCCACCATTTCTAGTATTTTTAGTGTTATTTTTTAGTGATAGATTGGAGATGTCCAAAAAAAAAAAAATCAAGGTTATATATATATATATATATACACACGTAAATCATCGAAAAAATCCATTTGAAAATACATATGTAAATCTATATATATATATATATATATATATAACGTCGAGTCACATATAAATCTTTAATCTCGTGTTTTCGAATTTGAGAAGAAAAGATAAGAAACGGAAAGAAAACAAATGGATGCGTTTTTTTTATTTGTGTTCTTGAGAGGGAAGGAAGATGAAGGAAATAAAATAAATTTTGATGTTTTTGAGAGAAAAGGGCAAAAAAGGAAAGAGAAGTAATAAAAATAAATTTTCATGTTCTTGAATATAAGAAAAAAGAAAGAAAACATGTTATTTTTACGAATATGCCCTTATTTATTTTTAAGTGAGTTATAACCGACAGGTGGATATGTAATTTTTAAATATTTATAATTGTTTTTATTTATTTTTCTTTTTCTTTTCCCTTTCCTTCCATATTTGGAAGAAAAGTTTTGGAAGGAAAATCAACATTATTTTCGTTCATTTTCTTTTCCTTTCCTTAAAAAAATCGAAGACAACGTTTTTTTCATTCCACTACTTTCCATCATTTCTCTTTGTTAAAAAGTAATCGAAAACACAACGTAAAGATTTTCACAATAATGTATATACAAATTATTTGGTAACATGACAAATGATCGTGTAAGAAGGAGAGTTAGGTGTCGTTTACCAAACGCTTACCCGGATAAGTGCTTACCAAGTCACTTTACTTTACTGGATGAATATGACAATGACTAAAAATCTTACCCGGTAAGAGCGAAGGCAAGAATCGAAAGCCTTACCCGGTAAGTGAGAATGATGACTCTTACCATGGTTAGCACTTACTGGGATAAATTGTTACATACAATGCGTTTTAGTGAATAAAATTTTACCTGGTAAGTAAACGATAACGTTGAATTTTACCGGTAAATGCTTATCGAGTAAGTGTTTAGGTAAACGGCCCCTTAATGTGAGAATCATAAGATCGGATCTGAACCCTTTATCAACTTTAACATCAAACTCACACATGAATCGTGATTGATACGATGACTGATCCGGTCCATTTTGGTGCACCTCATCTTAATATACATCAAGGGTGGAGATCTTTTCTTACGTTTCTCATCGTAACTTTCTTTCTCACCGAAACCCAGCTATTACACTGTATCTTTATATTCTTATCATATTTAATTTTTATTATTTAAACTTAAAAATGATTGACCCCCAAGAAATGCAAAAGTAAGTCCAAGATGTACCCTCCAGAATTGACCAAATTGACTCAACCACCTCAACCATCATTTCCAATTGGCTTTTATTGAATACCCCCATGCTCTACACCATTCCTTCCTTCCTTCAAATTTCCAACCCCACCACATTTTAACACATCATTTACATTAAAACTTTAATATATAATATTATTAATAACATTTTTTTTTACCTTCATAATGTTTTGTTGTGAAGTTTCAAGTGTAAAAATATGGTCTCACAAAAATATGTTGGTCTCACATGAACCCAACCCTACAAGACGTTACATGTCCCTAAGTTATTCTCATAAAATCCTCTCTTTTTATCGTGTAACAGATTTGTTAAACCTGTTTTAAACGATGAAATCCCTTCTGAAAATAACCTATGTCTTTAAGTTCATATGTCTTATTCGGGTATTTTATAAAAATACGTTAATATATAAATAGATAAATACACGTTTTAGTGTATCGGTCTTTTTTTGTTCTTTCTAGGAAATGCAATATTTTCTTGGAGGAACTTTCCCACCACCAAGAACAATGGTCATGTGTGTCCACTCTTTGTGTGTTCATAAATTAAATTCATGACCACTTGTTCCATGTCAAACCAATTACGTCTTTCAAGATTCGAGTGGAAGAGAAGATCAAAAGGATGCCGCCGGTTTGGAGTTCCCAAGTGGTGGTGTTAGCAGCGGCCATGGCGGTCTCCGGTACCGTAATCTTCCTCTCCCTACTCGGGACCACCACCACTTCCGCAGGAGAAAACCAAGATTCAATGGCTACGGAGGCACCACCATCACCACCACCACCACCATCATCACCACCGCGTTCTTGTTTGTCCTCTGTCAAGAAAGACAGAAAGGCAAAAAAGAAAGTTCGATTCGCGGAGAATGTAGAATTGTGGGAGGAGGTTCAACACGTTTCTAATTGTGGGATCCGTTCTACAGATTTCCATGGTGGTGTAGGAAATCCGATTGTAGAGTTTTCATGTTAAAACATCTTTATTATTTATAATTTTTTGATTTTTCCATGAAAAATTCAGATACTGATTCCATATTTTTTACAAGTCCATAATATAATTGAATGGAGCAGTGTTTTAGTTATATATATCATATGAATTAAAGAATTTATATGAAATACAGAAAAGACCTGTGTATATCTTATTTTTTGCGTACTTCAACTTCAAATTAAATATACAGGATGAAGAGGAAAGTTCAGTTGCAAACTTGTTTTCAATTATAAATTGAGGGACAAAGGACATCACGACACGTGTCCTTTTTTTTTCACATTCATTATGAATAATCAGGGGCGGAGCTCACCTTGGAGCCATAAGCGGCATCGGTGCCCCTCAAACTTTAAAAATAAAAGTTGATATAGTCCTAAACCTCAGTTATCCACTTGAAACTTCATTTATTCATATCAAAATTTGTTGTTTTCTTTCTTTATGAATGCGAAGTTCTCTAAAGGTTTTAAAATAAACAACTTACTTTCTTGAATACATAAATTTTTTACGATATCTTGAATTTGTTTGTATAAATATAGAAATAGTCATTTTTTACAACTATTTTTTTGACAAATATTTAATAAATAAAACACACACACACACATATATATAGAAGTGTGTTATTATACAACCCCTTATATTTGTACAACCAATACAACTCAATTTCAATCGTTGATTTAATTTGATGAATATGTAATTTCATAATATAAAATATTGATCATAATTAATGAACCTTATTCATCTTGCATAAATATTTAAATCATAATAAATGAACTCTCATCATTTCCATAAATATTTTAATTTATTGGGTTGCATTGGTTGTACAAATGTAATGAGTTGCATTTGAAACAATCTCTCTCTTTCTCTCTCTCTATATATACACACACACACACACACACACACTTAAATAGGGTTTTTCTCAAGCGTAAAGTTGTACATTTTCTTACATTTTTTCTAGGTACTCCTAGATAGATTTTATGGATCCGCCTTTGTGAATAATAAACTCCATTCATTATGAATAATGAACATTCATGATGAATATCCCATGAATGTCTTAGACACGTGACGAGCTCTTTTTTTCCCCGTTTCATAAACGAAACTTAAGTTTACAATTACGCGTGTCAATGTGGCGGGGATGAACGGAGAATGCAATCCTCAGCTCCGATTCCACTATCTCATCCCCGTCCGTGGCCCCAACGAGTACAAGGAATCGAATCCCCTCTCAGGATTTGTTGGGCTTATTCCCATTCCACCCTGGTTTATCCTTACTTCAACAATGGTTAACATATTGATAAAATAAATAATAAATTATACAACATATATTAAGAAATATAATTTTAATTAATATTATATATACATATAAAACGGGTTGCCCCGGTTTTCAGCTTGTCGGGGAATCCCGGCCCGTACCCGTTAAAACTCCCCGGCTGCATATACCGGAGCCGAGCAAATCACCATGCCTCTTTACAATTGAACCTACCCAACGCCGTGCTTACCAGAAACGCCATAAGCGTACCTTAGTCTGAGGCTGCTAACATGGGTTGTCTCGTTGATTTATATATATAATATATATATACACATATGTGTGTGTGTGTGTTCAACTTCGCCCTCTTCCTCTGTTCATGGACATTATAAATGAAATTATACACAAATTTGGCCGGAGAAGACTGCTGTCGTATGCCATTGCCATTTCAGTTTTACCTCTTTTGTGAATATGAATGACGTTATGCGCATGATATGAACAGCAACATCAAAATACACGTCTGTTTGTGTTTCCCCTTTCTAGTAACATGTGCACATGGAGACAATGGAAGGTCTTATCAATGGAAGAAACAAGACTTTTTTACGGTTAAAGGGACAACTATTTCCAAGTAAAATCTGAGCCGTTAAAGCTCTTTTCGTCAAGACTGTGCATAAAGCAGTGTAGAAGCAGTAACTTTACCATTAAAAATGTATGATTGCCATTGAGAAGGTACATGGGCGTTACAGAAGGAGAAACTGTTAAATTCTTGACAATGAGAGTGGTGGTGATGGCTTTTGCTTTTTTGGTACGAATTACTGTAAGTGAAATCTTTTGATAATTGGGAGTTTAATTGGAAAAAAACTGTTAGCATTTGCCAAGAATAGGTTAAAGCAAAACAGCAGAAAGAGATGGGCAAGATTGTGCACATCAACTGCTTGATGAAATGACGCTTCAAATTTCAATTCCATGAGTATGACCCGGTTCAGATGAACTTCGTCCCTGACGTCAAACTTAATCCATGTAAGAATATAGCATTATGTTGTTTTTAGTATCTTCTTCATATATTCCAGTTTTCTTATGCTTTATCTATGCATATTTTAGGTACATTTCAATCCGAATTTGCTGGTCTTGGTCTTGGTGTTGGTCTTACGCATTGTGCTCTTCCTAATTCGAGCTAGCTTACCACACAAGTATTTAAAACATTTAAAGATGTCAAAGTTTCCTACTTCGATTCTTAATCTTGATTTCCAGATTATGGGTATGTTAAATCTTGATATTTTCAATGCTTTGGTGAAGAAAGTCCTTGGGAGATCATTAATTGCAGCAGTCCAATAGGAGTTTGACCAAACCCACAAAAAAAAAACTAATGTCATTGATTTTTGCATGCCCAGATCACAAGGATAATGTTGGTAATTAAAGAATTCAATGGCTCAAGATTTAAGAAAAATTAGTCAGATCAAAACCAGTGCAACATTTTCCCAAAAACAGGAAGAAACAACAGTGAAATGTGGAGTGGGAAAAGAATTTGAGTTGGGAGGCTTGAATTCAATAGGCACAGAAGTCATTCACATTAGGAACCTGTCCCTTCTTCTCCAAACATTATCTCTTTTTCTTGTTTTGTTCACATCCAAATAGTAACCCAATCCCCTGAAGATTTCTCTCCCTTCCCTTTCTCAGCACCCTTTTAATTTCCACTTTTTCCGTAACAGTACCTCATGCACGACAAATACTATTTATTCCTCACAACAAGTCCTCTTTATCATCTTCTTACTCTTCTTCTATTTATATATATATATATATACGCATATCACTGTTAATATATCCAACCCTTCCAGTTGTTAACTATTGATGGCACCTGCAAGGACCTACACACTTGGCCTCAGGGTGGTTGTCACAGTCATTCTTCTCTTATTTGTTACAGTATCACATTCCATATCAGGTAAACACAGAAATAACCACTCTCAAAGAACTAAACAATTGAAATCAAAATGGGTTTTTGTTATTCTTGGTTGTGATAATGGTTAATTTTTTCTGTTTTTAAAATATGCATTTGTTGATTAATTGGCAGTTGATGAAGGGGTGGTGGCAAGTGTGCAACAAAACAAGAAAATTCTAGGATCAAGGCCACCAGGGTGTGTGAACAAGTGTGTGAATTGCAGGCCATGCCAGGCCACTTTGGTTATTCCTCCACATCCCAAGATGATTGATTACCGCCATCAATCGTCTAATTGGGAAGACAATTACTACCTCCTTTCCTGGAAGTGCAAATGTGGTGACAAACTCTTTCAACCTTGACTATTACCTGCTTTAGAAGATGATATGTAAAGTACTCTACCATGTGATCTGATGCACCCAATAACCATTGATTTAAATTATGTATCTCTATTTCTGATCATTATGCTGAACATCTACTTTGGGTGTTATTGATTTTGAATATTAACTGCATATCCAGTTTTAGATATCTAATTTGCATACACAATATGAAATGAACTCTGCATACATATGCACTTCAAAATGTTTAACTTGATCCTCATTGTGGCCACAGGATATCTATTCTACCTATTCTTGAAAAACAACAAAATTAAAAATACTACCGAACTTTAGCACATAATTCAACTTTTGTAACTCCATCCACAGACCTTGGCTATCTTAAAAGGATAAAACCCAAGATAATGTTCAACAAAATGCTCCAGAAACTAGATTTAGATGAGGAAGAAACACTTAGGGGAGGTGGGATGCTTTTAGGTGTAGTGAGCCCACCAGCTGATAGGCTAGACCAAGCAATGGTTGTGCTAAGACGTACGGGGCTCTGACCATCTTGACCATGTGTGCCCAGGATGCAACCATAGTAGCGGTTGCTGGCCGAGTCTAGAGTAATGTTTGCAGGTACAGTTGCTATTGCAGGTCTAGTCCATCCCATGTCTTTGAATACGTAAGTAGTTTGAGCCTGAAGCGTTATGCTTTGAAATACAATCGTTGAAACAAAAGCAGAAACAGTCATTCTGTTCATATACCGATTCTCCTTCCCTGAAATAGGAAACGCGATTGATTGTTTTTTTGGGTATAAGAAGAGGGGAACTGCAGAGTTCCAGTGTAGGAAATCAACGTAGGAATATATATTAGACAGTTTAGAGGAATTAGCTGAATTCTGACTAATTCCTTTCTTCTGGAGGTTCCGAATTCATTAATTCCTTCTCTTAGGTGGTTGTGTTTTGACTCGTTCCTTTTCTTAAGCTAGTTTTACTCGTTTACCCAAGTCAACTCATTATGCATATTGAAAAGTAAAAGTCGGTGCTTTGAATTACCACAGAAGACTGAAAAATGAACAGAAGACTTTGTATTCATGGAAGACTACCATAGTGTACACCAATGTTTCTTAATCCCAAATAATTTTTCTACAAACTTAACATGGTGGTGCCTGATTCAAAGGATTCTTCAGACGCCCGAACCGTTAAGAGTTGTCATGAAGATATAATCAGCACCAGAGCCGCAGCAGATATCACATACATCAATTGCATAGACCAAATGCCCTGCAGGAAAGAAAGGTAACAACCGAAATAGATAAATTAGGGAACTGTACTACGAGAAACTGACCGAGTACGAGTATAGAGGCGGGTTTATTTGAGAACTGTGATAACCAACTATTTATGAATGATTCATGATGAATGTAATGAATATTTAGGTAATATTCATCATGAATATTTAGGTATATTCATCATGAATAGTTGGTTTTTAGGATTGTCAACATACTTTGAAGTTGATGGCGGATATTGCTGAAGAAGGTACAAGCCCTGTGAACCCGATACTGTAAGAAACACTCCCGTCTGCTTTGAATAGGCCAAAATTCCTCTCGGAAGTCGGTCCAGGCTTTAGGTTCTCGTTGAACATAGCAAAAACATATGCCTTAACCACCATCTTTGGTCTGTAAGGGGTGCCCTTTTTTTTTAGCAGCCTTTTACGTAGGTTCATATTGTAAGTCCGAGCATTGGTAACCGTAGCAGCTGCTTCATTTGGGTCTCCATTTGAAGCCCAGCCGGTTTCCGATACTATGACTTCCATTTTCTCGAATCCGGCTTTCTCCAAGGCAGCATAGGATGCATCGATTTGAGCCTCGAACATGTTGTCATAATGGAGTTTAGTTTTCTCATCATAGATTCCGGGATTCTTCTTAAAGAGGGCATAGTTTAGATCAATGTGTTCAGGATCACTAATGTATGCAAGAAAAGGGTAAGTGTTTATATAGAAAGGCGATTTAATTTGCGAGAAGAATTCGAGCAGTGGTTTCATGTAGGGCATGAAAGACTCCTTGAATGCGCCAGCTGATGGAGGGTACGAGGTTGCAAAAACTGCAGCTGAGTGTGGGCTCGAGACCTCAACTTTATCGGCTAAACGAAGCCGGACAAGGGCGTTATGGACATTTTTCACAGCCGGAACCAAGACCTCCCAGAGTTCTTGATTCGCGTTACCTAAGACCTCGTTGCCGACCGCAACACCGACGATGCGGGTCCCCGGTACAAACGGCTCGACATTTTCTTTCACCCAATCCATGGCTCGGTCTTCATTCACACTTATGTCTTTCAAGAACTCATTCCCGAGCCCGATTGTTATCTCGATGCCGGAGCCTTTAAACGCCTTGAGAACTTCGTGATCCGCATCAAAGATTCGGGTGTTCATGATCTTAGCTGCCTTCATAAGCGTGACTACGCTTTCCGGACGCGGAATGTTGTCGGCTATTCTCCCGTAATTTACTCCATACGTACCAATGAATGCACTCGATATCGCAACTGCCAACACACAAAGACCATCAAACACAAAAATACAACATATAATGTCAAAAGAACAATGGTCAAGGCATTGTTATGACGGCAAATCTTACAAGTCATGACTTTTTTCAAGGCATCGTTATGATGACAAATCTCTATATCATATATAATATTATAGGTGGAGGTTCAGGGAAAGCCTCTAAAAAATGAAAAAAATGAGGAACATCCTAGTAACATTCATCCGGTCGTATGCATCGGTATGCATCTATTGGACAAATTGTTTATGATTTACTTGTATGCATATGTGCATTCTGTTCAGATGAACAAATAGTTATCTTCCATTCTTCCTCAGTTTTTTTCCCTGTATTCCCGAGAACCTGACCTTAATATTATATATATATATATATATAAACATATGTTTTCTA